GAGACAGGGTTTCACCGGGTTAGCCAGGATGGTCTCGATCTCCTGACCTCGTGATCCGCCCGTCTCGGCCTCCCAAAGTGCTGGGATTACAGGTTCGAGTCACCACGCCTGGCCTCATTTTTATTTTTTTTTTTGAGGCGGAGTCTCACTCTGTTGCCAAGGCTGGAGTGCAGTGGCACAATCTCGGCTCACTGCAACCTCACAAGCAATTCTCTGCCTCAGCCTTCCCAGTAGCTGGGACTACAGGCACCCATCACCACGCCCTTTCACCATCGTGCCAGGCTGGTCTTGAACTCCTGACCTCGTGATCCACCCGCCTCAGCTTCCCAAAGTGCTGGGATTAAAGGCATGAGCCACCGTACCTGGCCACGCCTGGCTAATTTTTGTATGTTTTCAGTAGAGATGGGGTTCCACCATGTTGGCCAGGCTGATCTTGAACTCCTGGGTTCAAGTGATCTTATCTCCCTCAGTTTCCCAGAGTGCTGAAATTACAGGCGTGAGCCACCAAGTCCAGCCTTAAAGAAATATTTTTGTTAATGTCTTCTATAAAATTAGATTCATGCTTTGTAATCATTTCAATTCTCAATATTCAGAGAACTTATTAAAATTAAAGTTCTTCCCATCATCCCACTGTGAATTATATTCTAATTAGCAAATATTTTACATATTATTCTTTTACTTTTTATGGAATAATTTTTTTTTTACATGTTACCCTGTGTCTCAATTTCCTCATCTGAAAAAAGCATGTTTTTAAGTAAAAAATTTTTAATTATGGCAAATTACACATAATCTAAAATTTACCATGGTAATTTTTTTTTCTTTTTTATTATTATACTTTAAGTTCTAGGGTACATGTGCATAACGTGCAGGTTTGTTACATATGTATACTTGTGCCATGCTGGCATGCTGCACCCATCAACTCGTCAGCACCCATCAACTCGTCATTTACATCAGATACAACTCCCAATGCAATCCCTCCCCCCTCCCCCCCTTTTTATGGAATAATTAAAAAAAAAAAAAAAAAAGCAACCCTTTTCAAAATAAACCCAGTTTGGACCCTGGATCAGGAGAGAAAAAACAAACTCAGCTATAAATGACATTTTGTGAGTTATTCTGAATTTCAATTGAAAACAAAAACCAACAATGAAGACATTTTGGGGGCTACTGGGACTATTTGGTTAAATATCATTATTGATAGCATTTTTGTTTGGTTTGGTTTTTCTGAGATGGAGTCTCGTTCTGTCGCCCAGGCTGGAGTGCAGTGGTACGATCTCAACTCACTACAAGCTCCGCCTCCCAGGTTCGCGCCATTCTTACCTCAGCCTCCCGTGTAGCTGGGACTACAGGCGTCTGCCACCACGCCCGGCTAATTTTTTATATTTTTAGTAGAGGCGGGGTTTCACCGTGTTCGCCAAGATAGTCTTGATATCCTGACCTCACGATCCACCCGCCTCGGCCTCCCAAAGTGCCGGGATTACAGGCATGAGCCACTGCGCATGGCAGATAGCATGTTATTTATATAACTATTAATGTTATTAAGTCAAGCCTAAATTTTTCAGGGTGATGAAGATATTGTAATTACACAGAACAACGTCATTATTAGGAGAGACATGCTGAAGTACTTAGAAGAGTCATGATACCCACAGTTAAAGCAAAAGCAAATATGTCAATTAGCAATCCTGGCTCGCTGCAACCTCCGTATCCTGGGCTCAAGTGATTCTCCTACCTCAGCCTCTCAAGTAGCTGGGATTACAGGGGCCCACCACCACGCCCAGCTAATTTTTATATTTTTAGCAGAGACGGAGTTTCACCATGTTGGCCAGGCTGGTCTTGAACTCCTGACCTCAGGTGATCCACCTGCCTGCCTCAGCCTCCCAAAGTGCTGGGATTACAGGTATAAGCCACTGTACCCAGCTTATTACTTTTAATTATTCTATAGGTATTAATATTTTCAACAAAAATTTAAGGGAAACACTCGTTTCCTTCAAATTTTAATCAAAATTAGCATTATCAATAAACTTAGGCTAGGCACGGTGGCTCACGCCTGTAATCTCAGCACTTTAGCAGGCCAAGGTGGGAAAATCACTTGAGGTCAGTTCGAGACCAGCACGGCCAACATGGCGAAACCCCGTCTCTATTAAAAATACAAAAATTAGCCAGGTATGGTGGTGCATGCCTGCAGTCCCAGCTGCTGAGGAGGCTGAGGCTGAGGCAGGAGAATCGCTTGAACCCGGGAGGCAGATGCTGCAGTAAGCCGAGATGACACCACTGCACTACAGCCTGGGCGACACAGCAAGACCATGTCTCAAAATAAAAAAAAATAAATAAAATAAACTTAATGATAAAATGGGTTAACCAGGCCTCAAATTCTAATTCTCTCTTTCCGAGTAATAATGTCATAAATACAGACTTTCCCACTGAAAATATCAAAGGCATTTCCTGCTCATAAAATCATGACGGTAGTTTTGACAAAGATTAAAACAGAAAATGCTATATGTTTAGATCAAGTGGGTTTTTTCCAGTTCACTATAGGACTTACCTATCCATGTCATCATCTCCAGGTAATAAGGGTGGGAGGGGCAGAGGAGGCAATGTTGAAGTTTTCAGGTGTGGAATAGCAGCTGTTACAGATACTTGAGTCTTCACAGAAACCTGTACAGGGGGCTGAGAATTTGCCTGAGAGGACACAGAAGATGTCTTTGAGTGAGTAGAAGAGGGCAAAGTTGAAGTACTGGAAGCAGGAACCTGACTAAATGCTGGCTGAGAAGGAGGCAGAGGTGGTTGCTGCGGAAGAGCTGGTACTGGAGGCAAAGGTGGCAAAGGGGGTGTCTGAGGTGGAGGGGTAGTAGTTGGTAGAGGGGGTGGGGGAGAAGTAATTGTAGGAAGAGGTGGAGGGGTCTCCTTTTCTGATGTTTCTGTCTCCTTTGGAGTAACAATCTCCTCTTTCAGTGCTATGGGTTTAGAGTCTCTTGTTCCCTGTGCTTTCAAATCTTTAACAAGATGCTTCTCAGAGTTCTCATCCAACTTTACTTTCCCTGTATCTAAAGAATTTTTTACCTCTGTGTTTAGATGTGTTACATTCACCAGATCAGTATCTGGAGCAGATTTTTCCAATTTTACACTTCTGGGTAACTTTTTAGACTCCAAACCTGAATCCTTAGCCTCTACTGAACTGTTCTCTTTTCTAGGCAAAAATACAGGTGAACCCTTGGATTCCTTTCCATCCATTTTTGCTGCAGCAGCAGCAGCTGCTCTTTCCTTCTTTTTCCTACTGAGTTCAGCTCCCAGACTGGAATTCAGTGGAAGCCTGACAGGTGAGATACTGGAATGACGACTGCGTGAACTGGATCTCTTCTTTTTACTATGAGAAGATGAATGTCTTGAATATGCAGGACTTCTACTTCTGGACTTCATGGATTTCCTACTGGAAAAATAAAAAGGCAGTTTTAAATGAATAGACTACAGTAGTACATGGAGGAAAACAGATCAACAAAACAAACTATGAAGAACTGTAACTTATCAATCTTAAAACAATTAAGTGCCATCAAAACCAAGGAAAGTCTGAGAAACCAGCCCAATCAAGAGGCACCCCAAGGAAACAGGACTAAATGTAAGATGGTATAATGAGTAAGATCCTGGAACAGAAAATGGACATTAGGTAGACTAAGTAAATCTAAATAAAGTATGGACTCCAGTTTACAATTATGTATCAATATTGGTTCATTAACTGTAACAACTGTACCACATTAATGTAAGATGTTAACAATAAGGGAAACTGGATGCAGGGATATATGAGACTT